GGCTCATGCACGCCCAGGTAGCCACCATCGAGCGCAACGCCTTCGACGACCTCAAGTCGCTGGAGGAGCTCAACCTGTCCCACAACAACCTGATGTCGCTGCCCCACGACCTCTTCACGCCCCTGCACCGCCTCGAGCGCGTGCACCTCAACCACAACCCCTGGCATTGCAACTGCGACGTGCTCTGGCTGAGCTGGTGGCTCAAAGAGACGGTGCCCAGCAACACGACGTGCTGCGCCCGCTGTCATGCGCCCGCCGGCCTCAAGGGGCGCTACATTGGGGAGCTGGACCAGTCGCATTTCACCTGCTACGCGCCCGTCATCGTGGAGCCGCCCACTGACCTCAACGTCACCGAGGGCATGGCTGCCGAGCTCAAATGCCGCACGGGCACCTCCATGACCTCCGTCAACTGGCTGACGCCCAACGGCACCCTCATGACCCACGGCTCCTACCGCGTGCGCATCTCCGTCCTGCATGACGGCACGCTCAACTTCACCAACGTCACCGTGCAGGACACGGGCCAGTACACGTGCATGGTGACGAACTCGGCCGGCAACACCACCGCCTCGGCCACGCTCAACGTCTCGGCCGTGGACCCCGTGGCGGCCGGGGGCACCGGCGGCGGCGGGGGCGGCCCTGGGGGCGGTGGTGGTGTTGGAGGGGGCAGTGGCGGCTACACCTACTTCACCACGGTGACCGTGGAGACCCTGGAGACGCAGCCCGGAGAGGAGGCCCTGCAGCCGCGGGGGACGGAGAAGGAACCGCCGGGGCCCACGACGGACGGTGTCTGGGGCGGGGGCCGGCCCGGGGACGCGGCCGGTCCTGCCTCGTCGTCTACCACGGCACCCGCCCCGCGCTCCTCGCGGCCCACGGAGAAGGCGTTCACGGTGCCCATCACGGATGTGACGGAGAACGCCCTCAAGGACCTGGACGACGTCATGAAGACCACCAAGATCATCATTGGCTGCTTCGTGGCCATCACGTTCATGGCCGCGGTGATGCTCGTGGCCTTCTACAAGCTGCGCAAGCAGCACCAGCTCCACAAGCACCACGGGCCCACGCGCACCGTGGAGATCATCAACGTGGAGGACGAGCTGCCCGCCGCCTCGGCCGTGTCCGTGGCCGCCGCGGCCGCCGTGGCCGGTGGGGGTGGCGTGGGCGGGGACAGCCACCTGGCCCTGCCCGCTCTGGAGCGAGACCACCTCAACCACCACCACTACGTGGCTGCCGCCTTCAAGGCGCACTACAGCAGCAACCCCAGCGGCGGGGGCTGCGGGGGCAAAGGCCCGCCCGGCCTCAACTCCATCCACGAACCTCTGCTCTTCAAGAGCGGCTCCAAGGAGAACGTGCAAGAGACGCAGATCTGAGGCGGTGGGGCCTGGCGGGCAAGGGGCATGGAGCCCCCCACCCCGGTCCCAGCCTGACCGGGACCCCTCCCTCCCACAGCCCAGCCCACCTTCTGGGACCATGCAGGGAATTGGGGAGAGGTGGCTTCCAGCCCCATCTGGGGCTCGGACCCCTAGTGAGGACAGGGTGGGGCTCCAGGAACGGAGTCTCTGGGGTCCTCGGCTCACCCCCGCCAATCCCCGGTGACGGGAGGGGACGTGGGACCCAGGAGAAGTGGCGTTTCCTCCTCGCGCTCCGCGTTTCCTCCTCGCTCTCCCGACCAAGCGTTCCCGGCCCGCCGCCTTCCAGGAGAGACAGGAGCTTTTTCCAGGGGTGTCCTTTCCCCTCGGCCCCAGACACCCTCCTTTTACGGTTCAGTTTTTGCAGTTTGACGCCCGTCCCTCCCTCCCACTCCTCCGCCCTCAAAACTGAAGAGATGGACACGTCGCCAGAGCTCCCGGCCGGCGGCCCCTGTCGTCGGCAGAGGGTGGCAGCCTCCACCCGCCCCAGCCCCACCTGCCCCACAGACACTTTTGATACTGAAGGGAGGTTTGCGTCAACGACTACCTGCTCTGTAATTACTTTAAAAAAAAAACATGGAAAAAGTAAAAAAATATTTTTTTCGGTCATGAAAGCACGGAGGAGAGAAAACAAAGTGAATGCGGGTGGGGGCGGAAGGAGAGGCTGGAGAGCCAGCCTCGCAGCCCCGTTGGGAGGGTGGGCCCCGCACACCTCCGGGTGGTCTTAGGCCCTTCAGCCTTCACGCTGGAGACCCCAGAGAAGGTCTGATTCCCTCTCCTCCTAAACTCCTCCCCTAGCACCGCCACGCCACACCCAAACCCGGGTGGGAACTTAGAACAAAGGAAATCTATAGTCCCACAGTCCCGGAGGCTGGATGTGATCAAAGTGCCAGGTGGACCAGGCTCTCTCTGAAACCTGGGGGTACCTCGGGGGGCTTCCTGCCTCGCCAGCTTCTGGTGGCCCCAGGCTGTCCTGGCTGGTGGCTGTATTATATCACCCCAGTCTTCCAGCGCCTGCCCCTGTAGCCTCTCATCTCTTCCCTCTGTGTGCGTCTGTGTCCAACTCCCCCGCCTTTTTTTTTTTTTTTTTTTAATTGAGATGGAGTTTCATTCTTGTCGCCCAGGCTGGAGTGCAGTGGCACAATCTTGGCTCACTGCAACCTCTGCTTCTCAGCTTCAAGTGATTCTCCTGCCTCAGCCTCCCAAGTAGCTGGCATTACAGGCATGCGCCACCACGCCTGGCTAAATTTTGTATTTTTAGTAGAGACCGGTTTCACCACATTGACCAGGCTGCTTTCAAACTCCTAACCTCAGGTGATCCACTCGCCTCGGCCTCTCAAAGTGCTCGATTACAGGCATGAGTCACCGTGCCTGACTTTTTTTTTTTTTTTTTTTTTGAGACAGAGTCTCGCTCTGTTGTCCACGCTGGAGTGCAGCGGCACAATTTCAGCGCACCAAAGCCTCTGCCTCCCAGGCTCAAGTGAATCTCCTCCCTCAGCCCCCTGAGTAGCTAGGATTACACGCGCCTACCATTACACCCAACTAATTTTTGTACTTTTAGTACAGAAGGGGTTTCACCATGTTGGCCAGGTGACCTGAACTCCTGACCTGAAGTGATCCACCTGCTTCAGCCTCCCAAAGTGCTGGGATTATAGGTGTGAGCCACTGCAGCCTGCCTAACCTCCCCTCTTACAAGGACAGAGGGCAGACTGGACCAGGAGCCTCCACCTCCAGTATAACCTCAGCTCCATCCTTGGCAAAAACCCAATTCCCAAATAAGGTCCCATTCTGAGGCCCTGGAGGTCAGGACTTCTGTGCTTCCCTTTCTGGGCGACAATCCAACCCACAACAGGGCCCAATCCAGAGTGTCTCCACTGCAGACCTCAGGGCTGCTCCGGAAGATGGGCGCTGAAGGGGAGGGAGGCCAAGTGGGAGGCTGGGGCTGTGGCCTCGGGCACAGGAGCTGTATTTCTGGCCTGTTCAGTGGGAGGCTGGAGGGCCGGATCGGGTGGGCCTGGGGCATCAGGGGCTCCACAGTGCCGCCCAGAAGGGCAGGAACAGAGCCCTCAGAGAGCAGGGAGCAAGCCCCGAGCAGGCCGGGGGGGTTGCCAGCACAGTGGGCAGTTGAGGGGATTGGGGGAGGGGTGATGATGTCTCTTGCAGGGGTCAAGGCGCCTGAGTTGCAGCTCCTGGAGGGCTGGGGCTGGCCGGGGCTGCCATCTCACGCCACTGAGGGAGGCACAGGGAGTGACAGAGCCATGCAGGGCCTTCTAGCACCTTCCCACGCTGAGGTGGCTTCGGGGACACAGCCCTGAGGACGCACAGGCCTGCGCCCAGCCCCCTTCTCCCCTCGCAGTGACCCAGCCTGGGCTCCGTACACGGCAGCTATGGGCACTGTGGGGACACTCAGGCCCCAGAAGGAGTCAGAAGGTGGGGATGGCGGGAGGCCCCCACTTCCATGAGGTGCCTGGCCCCTGCCCCCTTCCTGGATCTCTCTACACCCAGGCATCTTATCTCCCCCACACCCGGGGCTCCTGGCCCTGGAAGTCAGTTCCTCCTTTATCAGCAGCAGCAGCCTCTGGGCGCCGTGTCAGGGTTTTGGCCCCTCTCTGTCTGCGTCTGTCTCCTCTCTCCTCCTGTCAACTTGGGGCTCTCACCACCCGGTGCCCGTCCCCCCACCCCATGCTCCCGTTCACGCTCTCTTTCTCTCCAGCCTCTTTCCAGCGCCAATCCTGGTTGCCATGGAAACACTGCAGCGGGTACCAGGTGGTGGCTGGGGGCAGGGAGCCCGCGCTGCCGCAGCCTGCGCCATTTCCGATGCCAGGCACCCTCGAGGCACAGTGGCTGGGGCTCGTGTTGGGGGTGCTTGGCCTCTCCAGGCCTCGAAGGCTTCTCCTGGGCTGATGCAAGCTGGGGAACAGGAGGGACGGACGTGGGAGTGAGAATGTCACATGGGAGGCAGCTGGTGGCACGATGGGGGACAGAGTGAAAGGTGGCAAGTCAAGGTGAACCGAAGGATGATCAGAGCGGAGGGAGGCTGTGGACGGGGGCGGAGGCTGCAGGAAGGGGACCGTGCTGCGGGGCTAGGGAGATTGGACCCGCTGAGGCAAGGGCACATCGAGGAGAAGCTGCAACCAGGGCTCCCGCTGCCTCCGGGAGGGCTGGGGGCACGGCCAGCTTGAAGCCTCCCTCAGACCTTGGCCACCTGAGGACGAGGAGGAGAGGTGTGCGCGAGGGGACAGAGCCCAGAGTCCCTGTCACCATCTCTTCTCCCCACCCAAAGCAAGATGCAGTTTCCATGACAACCTGGCCAGCCAGATAGGGGGCAGGGGACTGCAGAGGAAATTTTCCACATCAGCAGGGAGCAAGAAGGGTGTGCTATAGGGGAAAGGGGGGCACACAGGGCTCCCGGAACCCCCGGTCACCGTGATCACTGTGCCGGGCCCAGGAAAGTGGACAGAGTACAGGGAAGGGTTGTCCCGCCTCCACTCCAGCAGGCCCATGCCCCCACACTGGGTCTGCGGGGCAGGGGGAACACTGAGCCCAGAGGCTCAAGGGTCAGATGTCCAAAGAGCAGCAGCTGCCCAGGCCTCGTGCAGGGGGCAGCCAGCAGCCCAGGGAGCCGGGCCACAGACACCACACTCAGGGCCATGGCCGACAAGGGCCCATGGAGGGTGGGCGTGGTGGGCTACGGCCGCCTCGGTGAGTCCATGACCATCCTGGGCCTCCTTCCCCAAGCCCCTTCCTAAAGCCCCCAAGGCTCTCTGCCCTCCACAGACACTTTTCTCTGTCTCCATCTGCCGCTAGCTGTGTCTGTGGGTCTGCCCACCGCAACCCCACCCCGAGTCTCTGTCCTCTCCGTCTCTGTCTCCCTTCTCTCAGGGCCCCTCCCCCCCACATCTGAGTCTGTCCCCACCTCCTCTCTCTCTGGGCCTGTGTCCTCCTGTCCCTCTGAATCTCTGCCCCCGGCCCCATCTGTCTCCCCGAGTCTCTGTCCTCACCTCCTCTCTCTAAGCCTCTGTTCCCCACTCTCTCTGGGCCTCTGTCCCCCTCTCTCTGGATCTCTAGCCCTCTCCTTTCCTTCTCCTCAGGACAGTCCCTCGTCTCCCGCCTGTTGGCTCAGGGACCAGAACTTGGCCTAGAACTTGTTTTTGTCTGGAATCGTGACCCAGGACGAATGGCAGGGAGCGTGCCCCCTTCCCTGCAGCTCCAGAAGCTTGCTGCCCTGGGGGAAAGGTCAGTGACCTTGCCATGAGTGAGTGGAGCTCCCTGAAGCTCCTGTCCTGGCCCTCTTAGCCACTGTGTGATCTCAGGGATTCCCTGACCCTCTCTGGGCCTTGGTTCAAGCAAATGTGAAACGGGACGAGCCCATTCATCTCATTTCTCCTCCAGGCCAGGGAAAAGAGGGGCAGCCCTCAGTAGACTCAGAGGGAACTTTGGGAAGAAGAGGCCTAATACGTCTCCAAGACCCTGTGCCTTCTTTCCCCTCTCCCAGGCACCCTGATCTGGTTGTGGAAGTGGCCCATCCCAAAATAATCCATGAATCTGGGGCACAAATCCTGCGCCATGCCAATCTCCTGGTAAGCCCCACCCCAACCATTCACACACAGCCCTACCCCTTGTGTCTTGGTCTCACCCCACCCTAAAGTGGATATCCTTCCCTGACCTCAACCCTCTCCTCCTTCATCCACCCCAGGTGGGGTCCCCCTCAGCTCTAAGCGACCAGACCACAGAGCGGCAGCTCTTGGAGGCCTCACAGCACTGGAACCATGCCGTGTTTGTGGCCCGAGGGGCCCTGTGGGGCACCGAGGACATCACGAGATTGGATGCAGCTGGGGACCTCCGGGTGAGGACCTGCTGGGCTCCCCAGGAACCAGGGGAGGCCTGCAAAGACCCCACTCCCCCTAACCTGGACTCTTGCTTCCAGAGCCTTCGTGTCACCATGGCCACACACCCCGATGGCTTCCGGCTCGAGGGACCCCTGGCTGCAGCCCACAGCACCGGGCCTCGCACTGTGCTCTACGAAGGCCCTGTCCGTGGGCTCTGCCCCTTTGCCCCCCGAAATTCCAACACCATGGCGGCGGCTGCCCTGGCTGCCCCCAGCCTGGGCTTCGATGGGGTGACTGCTGTGCTTGTGGCTGATCTCAGGTGAGCAGAGTGAGCAGGGTGTTGGGCTGAGTCCAGGCTAACCAGACTGACCGCCCCACTTGTCCCAGCCTCACGGACATGCACGTGGTGGATGTAGAGCTGAGCGGACACCCGGGCCCCACAGGCCGAAGCTTTGCTGTGCACACCCACAGAGAGAACCCTGCCGAGCCAGGCGCGGTAACCGGCTCCGCCACCGTCACGGCCTTCTGGCGGAGCCTCCTGGGTGCGGCCAGGCCCCTCTCCCCCGGCCCTGGGCTCCTGTGTTCTGCAGAGCTTAGGGATCCCGGGCTCTCGCTAGTTCTGCAGCTCTGGTTCTGTATTTGTTGACCTTTATTTCTGACCTTTATTTCCTTAACCTCTGTCCACGACTTGGAATCCTGGCACCGTAGATGTCTCCATCTCTGTCCGCGTCCCCTCTCTGAGTCTCTGTGCCCGCCTCTGATGAGGACTCTCTCTGTCTGTGTCCACCCCCAGGGCTCTGTCCCGCTCTCTCTGGGTCTTCCTCCACCGCCCCCCAGGCCTGTCCCCTCCTCCCACCATTGCCTCCCCCAGGTGTCTGTCTCCTCATCTCTCCTCTGTCTCACTCGCTCATTCCCCTCTCTCCCCGCAGCCTGCTGCCAGCTCCCCTCCAGGCCGGGGATCCATCTCTGCTGAGAAGCCTTCTCCCTCCCGAGACGAGATCATCTTACTGGCCTCTCACTACCACTATCCCACCCCTGCCTTGCCCCACTTCCCCAGGATCTCCCTTCTGACTCAGTAAAGATCACCGCTGTCTCCCCCTGCACCGCCTGGCGTCCCTGGTCCCTGTTTTCCTTCTGTGACGTCACGCTGCGTCTGCGCACCGCGCATGACGCCATCGCAGGGGGCGACCGCCCACGAGAGCGCGGCGCCGGGAAGCTATCGCGAGAGCGTACGCACTATATTTCCTAGAAGCTCTGAGCGGTAGTGGGCGCGGCCGTACGCGAAGGGAGGGCATCTGAGGCACACTTCCGGGACTTGCTGCGGAGCCCGACGGAAGTTGTAGTGCAGCATTTTCTAGGCCCGACGGCGGACTTCAAGGCCGCGCGGCCCGGGCGTTCGCTGGGGAGGAGGGGTCCCGCGGGGCCCCACGGGAGTCGTAGTCCGGCGCGCAGGGATCACCGGGAGCTGTAGTCCGTCCCGCCTGCCCAGTCAGCGCGGTGCTGCCCGCCCCGCACTCGGAGCACAGAGCCGCAACCCAGGAAGGGGATGCGGAAGCCCTTGGCTCGGTGGAGCGGAGAGGCAGGCGGGGTGAGGGGCGTTGCCAGGCAAAGGGCGAGCGCCGTGGTTGGGGTGCGTGTCGGTGAAGGGCTCCATTCCTTGGTGTCCGGGGAAGGGGCCTGGTTGCCGGGTATAGGAAAAGGAACTCCTGTTGCTTAGTGACTGGGGAGGGGGCCCCGTTGCCAGGTGACAAGAGCAGAGAGCCTGGCTGCTTCACGACCGGGGAAGGGTAGTCTTCTGTTGCTAGGAGACCGGAGGGGACCCTATCACCTAGAGACAGGGGAGGAGGACTCTCTATTGCTAGGTGCTCGGAGGACAGACTTTGTTACCTAGTGCCGTGGGGAAGGGGCTCTGTTGCTAGGTAACCACAGAGCGCCCGGTTACCTAGGGACAGGGGAGGCGGGTTCCTCTGTTGCTAGGTGACCATGATAGGCACCCTTTTACTTAGAGACCTGGTGGGGGTGGTTCTCTGTTGCTAGGGGAGCAGAGGAGACAGCCTTTTTCGTAGGAATAGGAAGAGGGGATGGAGGGACGTGTACTGTCAGGAGACCCAGGGAGCGGGGTCAGGGGCCCAGTGTCCTCCCGGGCTGCCCGGAGCCCCAGCTCAATCAATGGCGATGCCCCAAAGGCCTGCTGGGAGGTTGGAGCTCTAGATCCCGGGCCCCTGAGGACCTTCTTCCCCTCCCAACCCCCAGCAGGAGCCGAGGACGGCATGTCCCAGGCCCCGGGAGCACAGCCGAGCCCACCCTCTGTGTACCACGAACGGCAGCGCCTGGAGCTATGTGCCGTCCACGCCCTCAACAACGTTCTGCAGCAGCAGCTCTTTAGCCAGGAGGCTGCCGATGAGATCTGCAAGAGGTGACCGTCACCCACCCCGGCCCCTGGAGCAGCAGGGCTCTGACACAGCCACCCACCTGGGTCTCGCCACCAAGCAGGCGCTGAGCCTGGGGGCTTTCTTCTGTCCCCAGCTCACTTGCCTAAGCCAGACGCTGGGACTCCGGGGAGATGTTGCCTCCTGTGCCTGTCTGTCAATATGGCCTCAGCCCCAGCCAGGCCCCAATCCGGTGGTCCTTTCTTTCTTTAGAGACAACGTCTGGCTGTGCTGCTCAGGCTGGTCTTGAACTCCTGAGCTTGTGATCCTCACACCTCAGCCTCCCCAGTAGCTGGGATTACAGGCTCACTCAGTTTCAGGCATCTCTTATCTGGGCCCTGTCACAGCTCTCCAGTCCATCCTAAACACGCCCCCGCCCTACTCAGGGCCCTCCTGATAGCAGACGCTGAGCCTGCCTCTGCAGCTTCAGCCCTCACAGCCCCCCTCAAACCAGACTCTCCACTCCCGTGAGCCCTCCTGTGCAGCCTCTGGGCTTCCAGGTACTTCTTTCTGCCTGGTGTGGCTTCCTTCTCTGCCAGCACGGAATGTTCCTCTTCACTATTCATGATGTCCAACCTCGCTCCTTGGCCGGGTGCAGTGGCTCACGTCTGTAATCCCAACACTTTGGGAGGCCGAGGCAGGTGGATCACTTGAAGTCAGGAGTTCCAGACCAGCCTGGCCAACAGGGCAAAACCCTGTCTCTACTAAAAAATTAAAAAAAAAATTAGCTGGGCGTGGTGGCACACGTCTGTAGTCCCAGCTACTCTGGAGGCTGAGGTGAGAGAATTGCTTGAACCTGGGAGATGGAGGTTTCAGTGAGCCAGGCAACAGAGCAAGACTGTGTCTCAAAAAAACAAACAAACAAACAAAAATCCATCCTTTATCATCTCTTACTCCCTCCTCTCTGTCCCCACGTCCCTGGCCCCAGCTCAGGCCTGATCCTCTCCTGCCCAACCTGCCCGTGGCCTCCAGTCTGTCCCTGCCTTCAGTCCCCACTGATCCTAGAGTCTTTCTACACCTGGAGATGGGCCTGCCTCTCCTGTCTCTTGCTCAAAGCCGCCTCTGGCTGCTGGACATCCTGAGTCCCAGCCCCTCAGACTGATCATTATGGTATTTATTCATCTCCTCTGTCGTTCAGAACAAGGACCCACCAGCTCTTTCATACCAAAGCCATGTTGGAGACCCTGAGATGACTCAGACTCAAGTGCCAGCCTGAGGGTGGCGAGGGAAACACACACACACAAGCCTTTTCCTCCCATGCCCTGCCTGCCCAGGGCCCAGATAGGGAGCAGAGGTGCAGCTGTTCAGAGGCAGGGCCCAGAGACAAGTGGTGACAGGCGGAAGAGCCTTCCTGGGCAGGGGAAGAGCTGGAGGAAAGGTTGGCAGGGGTGGGGCGGGGGGCGGTGGGCACCGGGGATGTGGCTGGGGCCAGGGGGCCAGGAAGGAGGGTGCTGAGGCTCTGAGGTGAAGCCACCAGGGCCAGACCACGCAGGGCCTTGTGGGACTCTGTCCTGGGGGAAATGAGGCAGCAGAGTGGGCTGTGAGCAGGGCAGTGGTGAGGGCAACGCCATGGGAGAAGCAAGCAGTGTTAAATGAGGGTGATGCGGGCAGCTGTCATCGTTGAGGTAGCTCAGTTCACTGGGGGAGCCCAGACAGGGCGCCGACCCAGCCTGAAGGTCAGGAGTCTCCTCTCAGAGGATCTGACATCTGAGGCGGGTCTTCAAGGACAGAGGAAGGGACTGGCGGAGGGACAGGGACTTTGTCCAGGGCGCTGGGGAGCTATGGGAGAGCTGTGAGCAGGGGAGGGCCAGGGCCACGTGGGAATGGACTGGAGGGAGGCTGGAGGCTGGGGGAGAAGACAGAGCCCAACTGGGGCCTTGGGGACAGGGCAGAGTTGGGGCAGGAGAGACAGGACTTGAGGGTGGATGAGTTGTGGGGTCTGAAGCGGGGAGAGTCAAAGGCTGAGGCAACTTGTGGCCCCTGGCACCCCCATTTTGTGGGGCGGCCTTTCCACGGGTCCCCAGCTAAACCCTGGCCACCCCCACTACCAGGTTGGCCCCAGACTCCCGGCTGAACCCTCATCGCAGCCTCCTGGGCACCGGCAACTATGACGTCAACGTGATCATGGCCGCTCTGCAGGGGCTGGGCCTGGCCGCCGTGTGGTGGGACAGGAGGAGGTAGGCCCCAGAGCCGCACAGCACATCCTAGGCCGGGCACAGAGGGCACCCTGTCGTGTGAGCCTGTTGGGGGGTCAGGGAGGGGAATGTGGCCGGGGGGCTGGCATGAATGCGGGAAGGCTGGCGCTGATGGGTTAGTGGGGGAGATCAGGCGGTCGACAGGCTGAGACGCTGGGTGGATGATGGTTACCGGGTGAATGCTGAGTAGGTGGTTGGATGTGTTGGGTGAGGGGGAGTGAGGGGATTGGGTGTTCATGGTCAGTGGACAACACACAGGAGGCTGGGGAGTTGGGTGGATGAATGGGAGGTTTTGATGGCTGGCTGGCCAGTGGCCAGGTGTGTGGCTGGTGGATGAGGGGTAGACCAATGGCAGGTGGGCCAAGAGTGGGTGAGGACTGGGGGCATGGTGAGTCCACTGTTGGGTGAATGGCTGGCTGGGTGGTGGCTGGGTGGTGGACAGTAGATGGCTAGTTGGATGGTGATGGTGGCGGGGAGGTGAATGCATAGATGGAGGTGAGCGTGTGAATTGTTGTTGGGAAGTTGGCTGGTGGCTGGGAGGCCCGGTGGGGTGGGCGGATCATGCCTGGATCCTGGGTGGCTGTGTGAGGAGTAAGTTGGTGGGTGGGTGGCTGGACAGACAGGGTGATAGTGGTTGGTGAAGGGCCGATGTGAGTTGGGTGAATGGTGGGTGGATGGGTGGGAGGTCTGGTTGGGCGGCTGCATGGGTGGGAGGTTTGAGTGGGCGGGTGAACGGAGAGTGTTGGGAACCAGAGTGGCTGATTAAGGAACACCTCTGGGTGGGCTCAGGAGGCCCCCACCGCCGCCAGCCTGGGCCCCACATGGTCAGCCACATTTCACCGGTGGGCAGAGCAGGCCCTGATGGCGGTGTCCCCTCCCTGCCCGCACAGGCCCCTGTCCCAGCTGGCCCTGCCCCAGGTGCTGGGACTAATCCTGAACCTGCCCTCGCCCGTGTCTCTGGGGCTGCTGTCACTGCCGCTACGCCGGCGGCACTGGGTGGCCCTGCGCCAGGTGGATGGCATCTACTACAACCTGGACTCCAAGCTGCGGGCGCCCGAGGCCCTGGGGGACGAGGACGGAGTCAGGTGAGCCCCGCAGAGGTGATTCCAAGACCAGGGGCCTGAAACCCCACTCCCCAGAGGGAATGCCCAGGCTGGCTGAGCCTCAGTCTCCCCATTTCTCCCACCCAGGGCCTTCCTGGCGACTGCGCTGGCCCAGGGCCTGTGTGAGGTGCTGCTGGTGGTGACCAAGGAGGTGGAGGAGAAGGGCTGCTGGCTTCGGACAGACTGATCTCAGCTGACCGTCGGCGCCCACAGCACAGTCCCTGCGCGTCCCCCTCTGACTGTGCACACTGCGTGCCTGGGAAAGGCCTGGGGAGGCCTGCCCCCTCCCCACACCCCTGCTCCCCACTGCCGCTGCTGCCTCAATAAATCTGCTGATTTTCTGCCGCCTGGCCTGTGTCTGACTGCCCCGCCCTTCTGGGGCCCCTTCCACTCAGTCACTCCCACTTCTCTGACCGGCCAGACACCCTGGTGGGTGGGGCTGAGAGCCCAGGAGCCCTCCTGGTTCTCTGCCGCCTCATGCCAATTGCTCACCGCTGGGCCTCAGCTTCCTCATCAGTGACACAGCAGAAAACAGTACAAGTCCGTGCCCCTGGGGCTCACGCTCCTCCGGTGCTGGAGAGAGACCAGTGGCGAACGAATGCGTTTGATCTGGGTTCCACGGGGGTACTTGCTAAGGAGAAAGCAGGTGTTTACTTCTTTATTCGATTGATTGAGACAGTGTCTCACTCTGTCACCCAGGCTGGATTGCAGTGGGTCAATCACAGCTCACTGTAGCCTTGAACTCCTGGGCTCAGGTGATCCTCCCACCTCAGCCTCCCAAGTAGCTGGGACCACAGGTGCCATACCTGACTACTTTCTTTAAATTGTTTTGTAGAGATGGGATCTTGCTCTGTTACCCAGGCTGGTCTTGAACCCCTGACCTCAAGCAATCTGCCTGCCTCGGCTTCCCAAAGTGCTAGGATTACAGGCGTGAGCCACCGTGCCTGAGTTTACTTCTTGACTCTCCATTCTATTCCATTGATTGGTAGGTGGGCAGAACAGTGGCCCCAAAGATGTCCACGCCCTGGCCAGATGTGGTGCCTCATGCCTGTAACCACAGTGCTTTGGGAGGCTGAGGTCCACAGTATGAGACCAGCCTGGGCAACATAGCAAGACCCTGTCTCTACAAAAAACAAAAATTAAAAATAAGTGGGATGTGAGGCCGGTGGCTCACGTCTGTAATCTCAGCACTCTGGGAGGCCGAGGTGGATGGATCACCTGAGGTCAAGAGTTCAAGACTGGCCGGGCACAGTGCTCATGCCTGTAATCCCAACACTTTGGCATGCACCTGGCGGGCATGGTGGCAGGCGCCTGTAGTCCCAGCTACTTGGGAGGCTGAGGCAGGAGAATGGTGTGAACCCGGGAGGCGGAGCTTGCAGTGAGCTGAGATAGCGCCACTGCACTCCAGCCTGGGCGACAGAGCAAGACTCTGTCTCAAAACAAAAAAAAAAAGTTCAAGGCCAGCTTTGCCAACATGGTGAAACCCCATCTCTACTAAAAATACAAAAATTAGCTGGGTGTGGTGGCGGGTGCCTGTAATCCCAGCTACTCGGGAGGCTGAGGCAGGAGAATCGCTTGAACCCAGGAGGTGGAGGTTTTGGTGA